TCACCAATTGGCACAACATCAATCTTCAGCATGAAATAATATATATATAGCATCAAGTTTTTACAAAGAAGCGGCCATCAAAGCCTCTAGACAATCTTAGCCAGCCGATTGGCCCCTTGGCCTCGTCGAGGACAAATCTTTAACCTCATGACCGGGTTCGTGACAGTAAAAGCATCGACCATCGCCATCCCGACACCACGTATTCCAAGTATGTGCATCTTCACCCCTATTATGGGGGGGGGATCGGTGCGAGATGTCGAGGTGGTGGGTCTAGTGGGCTTCTTTTTGCTGGCCGCCACAATTTGTGTAGCGGCCTTACTTAATCTTTAGGGCCGTATTGGCCACTTCAAAACTGCGTTGATCTGCGGTGAATAAGAAATGAATCTTACCCTCCACCTCCTTGACTATCTGCTGGAGAAAGTCGGCGGCTAACTCGCCACCACTAGGGGGCAAAGCGGAGAGCGTGTGTCGAGCAATAGCTTGGATACGCTCGACGCTAAAAATTTGGGTTCGAATGCCGTCACTTTTTACCAAAGAAGAACGCAACAAAGGACGTGCAGGAGGGATAGGAGCAAGATTTGGGATGGTAGAACCAGACTTGAGACGAGCGGCGTTACCTTCATCGAGGGTTTCCATGGGCGCGTCGTCGTCCGCGCCATCGCCCTCGGGCTCGACCGCGATGGGAGGAGGGCGGGAGTGTGGCACTGCTGCTATTGCAGGTCGAGCAGGTGCAGGGGGCCGTGCTGGATCACCGGTTTGTCCGTGCTGAAGGGCCGCGAGAAGACCGATGACCTCATGAATTGCGTCATTATTAGCATTGTCATTGTTGATGTAACGAGCAGGAATTTGTTCTGCAGATCGGGGCGCAGTAGAAGTAGAGGAGCGCGCTGTAATGCGTTCACCAATTGCAGCACCCGTGAAGATTCGATGGAAATTTCGCTGGCTGGCGAGGTCCAGACGCGCCATCATTTCGGTGAAATTTGCAACTCCATTGGCGATGATTACAGGATCCTCCTGTGCGCGTTGATTCATCGGGCGAGATTCCAAATCAGCGTGGGCGTCCGGATTCTGGCAATCGCCACGATCCTGGCGGTCCCGGCGATTCGCACACTAGTCAAGATTCTGACGATCCGGTTCCTGACGCGTCTGGTCACGCCCGGGATTCTGCTCATTATTTCGACCTACACGCCTTGAATCGCGATGATCATTGCGATCCTCGCGCGCAGGACCGTCATTATTGCGGCCGAGGGGTGCCGCGCACAACTATTCCATGGGTGGCGGGGCGTTTTCTCCTGCCGGGTTCAAGTCGACACGTTCTGGTTTGTCACGCCGCTCGCCGCGGGAGAATCACGACCATTAGAAGTGTTGCGGTCTCCGACGGGAGCCTATCCGGGTTGCTGAACGGGGTTTTGCCGTGCGCCATTCAGCAAATCTAATGCAGTAACAGAAGCGTATCTATAGAGAAAGCTTGCTACTTGTAGTGCAAATGGCATCGTTCTCATTCCACTGGCATCAAGTACAACGAGTTCCCTACATATTCATATATTAGCACAAACTTTCTACACTAGGAAGGATCTGTCTATGCCGAGGATGATCCACCGAAGCGGTGCATGTTGAAGAAGGTAGACGAAGCGGGTTGGGTGGGCGGGAATTGAACTTGAGCTGGGAAAAATAAAAACGTGGGTGGAGGAAGAATGACCTCCAACCCCATTATATGGTTGGAGAAGGGCGAATAGCGCGCTTCGACGATGCCTGAGATTGCGTTACAGGCAGCTTCGCATTCACAATACGCAATTTTGAAAGTGTGAACACTGTAAAATTTTACATATTGAGAAAGCTTGCTACTTGTAGTGCAAATGGCATCGTTCTCATTCCACTGGGTTGACCTGAGACATGGAGGGAGATGGCTGTCGGTGGCGTGCAAGGGCTCAAGAATGTTGTGCCGGGGATGGTGCCAACCCGAGGGTCTGTACGTTGCGGGAAGCCGCAACCAGTTGGTCGACGGCAGGTGTGACATACATTTCTTTAGCCATGTCGCTGCACCATCGGCCAAGACGTTTGAAGAGCCGGTCTGCTACGCCTCCGTGGGCAGCGACGGTTGCAGCACCTTTGTGAAAGGAGTGGGTGCCAAGGTGATGCTCACCCAGGCCGATGGACTGGAAAGCCTCCTTGCACCAGTTGCGTATGGTGGTGTATGATGGCAGCTTGCTGGTAGGGGCGCCACCTGTGGCCACGCCGAACACCCGGATTAAGGGTCCAGGAGTGGTGGGTCCATAGCCTGCCAGCCGGATGAAGCGTTTGGTGCATCGGACAGGGCAGAGGGGTCCTGGGATGGCAGCAACAGGAACCCATAAGCCCTGACCTGCCTGGTCCGTTTTGGAGCGCGGGATGAGCAGCCACATTACGTCATCCTCAAACTGGATATCCTCCCAGTTGATGGCCACGAGATCGGAGTAACGCAAAAATCCGACGTACATGAGAAGGGGAATGAGACCTTTCTGGAATGTGGCCGGGTCGTTGGCACCGATGAAGTGAGTAGCCATCTCGTGCACTTGATGTAAAGAGACCAGTTCCTTGGTTTGATTGGGCCGGGGATACTGTCGCTTGGCGAATTCTCGAACTTGTGACGTGAAGGGGCCAGTGCTGGGGCAGGATGCCCCAATCATGCGGTGAGCGAAGCTGACGGCCGAGCATGTGAGTTGTATCACTGAGAGAGTGGCCTTGTTGCGAATTGCATAGACAAGGTACAAGGCGAGTGTCATGTCCGCGGTTGGCAGGAAGGGAAGGTTGACCCTGATACAGAAGGAACGAAACTGCTGCCAATAAGGTTCGTAAGTTCGAATTGTAGAGGGTGCGCGCGTTTGTGCCATGACCGAGAGCAGCTCGCGTTGCAGGGTTGGGATTAGATCTGTTTGCGATACAGGCGGGGAGGCAGATATCAGGGAAACGCGACTTGCAGAGCGAGCATGAGGCTATCAGGTAGACCAGAGCCGGAGAAGGCGCTAGTGTGTGTGCCTGGGGCTAAGCATTGGCTTCCATGCGTGAGTCGGATGTGGGCTTTGATGGGGCTAGCCCAGGCTGGTGGTGAGGGTTGGAGGAGTGGCCACCAGCTGGCGCCGGGCCAGTGGGGAAGTACCAGGGTGAGAAACGCGTGTGTACGTTGTGCATGGTGGAGGACGGCGGGGATCAATTGAGGTGGGGGGAAGGCAAAGCCGTGTTCTGCCGACCAAGAGATCGTGAAAGCGTGGCTCGCCGTAGCCGCGGGGTGTGGGTTTTCGGAACAGAAACGATGCAGCTTGGCGTTGCTAGCATTGGCGAAGAGATCAATCGAATAGGGACCCCAGTGCCGATCAAGGATGTTGAACCACGGCGTTTTCAGCGTGTAGTCATCGCGGTCGAGTATCTTGGAGAGCTCGTCCGCATGCGTGTTGAGTTCGCGAGGGATCCACTCCATCATGAGGCGAACTCGGTGGGTAGTACACGTGCGAATGATCTCCCTGCAAGCGATGGTGAGATCAGAGCTGTATGAGCCACCCTTCTTCAATATGAAGAAAACTCCCTAATTATCCATGCGTACAAGCACATGCTTGTTTCGGAGTAGGTCACTGTATGTCTGCAGTGCCCAAACAACCCCTTCAATCTCGCGACGGGTACTGGACGTGTTGAGAGTAGCCCCCCAGCCGTGGCTGCTCGCGTCGATGTGAATTACAGCATCGTAGCTACAGCGCACATGAAATGGGGCACCGTTGAAGTGGTCGAACTCGGTTGACCAGAATTCCAACTCCTCGCAGGCGATAGGTGAGAGCGATACTCTGCTATTCCAAGAGGGAGCATCGTTGATGGTCTGCAGCAGGGCGTGGCTGAATGTCCTAGCAGTGGCCCCAAGCACAAGAGTCATCGAAGCAAGCATACCAGTAACCCGTGCGACGTGCTGGACAGGGACCTTGGACTGGCTGCGTCCGTCTTCCAGGAGCGACTGGATAGTAGCCTGCAGTGTGCCACGCCGTTCTGGACCCACAGAGAATTGGCCGACTTCGGTATCGAGTTCCAAGCCCAGGAAACGTAAGCACTGGGTTGGTTGAAGGTGGGATTTCTTGGCGTTGATCACGAGGCCTGCCTTGCAAAGATCACCAATAATGTGGGTGCAAGTTTCCCGGGCGTCGGCTTCCGAATGACAAAGGAAGAGGATGTCGCCCACATACGGTATGACACGCACTCCCATTGTTCTCCAGCGGCGCGCGAGCTGCTTGATCAACTGCGTGAAGATGAACGGTGCGGTAGCCAGTCCGAACGGAAGGGAGCGGAAACAGTATGAGTGCCCGCCAAATTGGAAACCCAGGAATTTCCAACACGACGGGTGAATGTCGACGTGGTGATAGCCAGACTTCAGGTCGATTGAAAACATCCAATCGCCTGCACGCGCCAACTCTGCGACGCGATTGAGTCCCTCGTACTTGAATTTGGGAATTTGCAGCTTCGGGTTGACCTTGCGCAGATGGAGGATGAGACGACGTTTGTCGCGCTGTTCCACAACGTTGAGAGGGCTGACGCATGTGAGCGTTGATTCTGGCACCTTTGCTGCGGCGCCGGTTTGGAGGAGATCCGCGATGGCGGACTTCGTAAATGCCTCGTGAATTTGGGCCCCTGCATGATTGGTGCTCCGGAAAAGTTGTGGGGGCCCTTGTTTCCAAGGCATCCGGTAGCCTTTGTCAATGACTGATATGATCAAGCTACTGGTGCACCACGAACGCCACCAGGGTAGTGCGTCTCGCAGGCGCCCGCGCATGGTTGAGACCGTCCGGTCCGTTACTGCGTATTCGAAGGGATCACCAAGCCCCGTAAGGTCATGTGTGAGTAGTTCTGCAAATGAAATCCAACAAAAGAATGGGGTAAGGTTCGTAAATGTGGGGCAGAGCAAGTGTGAAGTCCACCAAACGTGATCGTGAGCATACACAATTTTTATTTTTATTTTTGAAGCCAGGGATGTATCCATAAAGGCTAGTGCCTGATATGATGTGAATTTCAGGGACTAGGGCAATGTGTATCTGGCCCGGCAGCCGGTCGCATGCTGCGCCACCGCGCACGCACTTTCGATGTTGCTTTCTTGCGTTCGGGCTCTCTCACTCTTTTTCTCTCTCTCTTTCTTTCTCTCTCTCTCTCTCACTCTCTCTCTCTCCCTCTCCCTCTCTCTCACTCTCTCTCTTGCTCTCTCTCTCTCTCTCTCTCTCTCTCTCTCTTGCTCTCTCTCTCTCTCTCTCCCTCCTTCTCTCTCTCTCTCTCTCTCGCTCTCTCTCTCCCTCTCTCTCTCCCTCTCTCTCTCCCTCTCTCTCTCCCTCTCTCACTCTCTCTCTCTCTCTCCCTCTCTCTCTCTCTCTCTCTCTCTCTCTCTCTCTATCTCTATCTCTCTCTCTCTCTCTCTCTCTCTCTCTCTCTCTCTCTCTCTCTCTCTCTCTCTCTCTCTCTCTCTCTCTCTCTCTCTCTCTCACTCTCTCGCTTGCACCATCTTTCTTTGGCGAAGCATCGTGTTCCAAAAAGCCAAGTCCCTCGAATGACTTGTCAAAGCGCATGTGATGAGACGGAAGCTAAGGCTAGTTATGTTTGTTCGTGCTAGACATTGAAGGCCCAACAAAGTGTGTGGCTTCGTGTGCCTCGATGTGGCCGCACCCTTTTTTTTTTGGGGCCGTGCCTTCTTCTTGGTTGGGCTTGGTTGGCAAGGGCACCCAAGATAGGTTCCTAGGCTCCAAAAATGGAGCTGCCTTGTGAGGTCCCAAGGCATTGTGAGGCATTTTTTCAGATTGGGTTTCTCAATAATATTTTAAGAAAGGAGATCAACAAGAATTGAAAAGCTTGGCCCATGAGCTTCAGGTCTCGAGCCTTGGCCACTATCCAACACAGATTCTATCCTTTTTAAAAAGAGGATGAAACGAAAAGAACCGGCACCTCCAAGGGTGCCTCAACCAAGGTAGGTCAAAAAATGTTTTCTCCCCCCTTGGGGCTTGGCCCATGGCCTATACTCATACCCTCGATCGGGTTTGGCCAGCAACCTTTGCATTCTAATTCCCAGCGAGGGAATGGCCAGCGGCCCTAAGCACCCCATGGTGCAGTGGCACCTACTCCAAAGTCCACAAAAAAATCCTCATTTTCTTTTCACACAACGGGTGCGGGCCCTTGTGACCCGCTCCCATTTCCAGTGCAGTTGTTTGCCGTGTGGCCCGGCTGGCCACAGCGAAAGCAAGTGCCTCGGAAGCCTCTCTGGGCGCCGCTCGGTGGAGGGTCAAACTTCCCTCTAAAGCCCATAGGGCCGCGGCCTCCAACGGGATGGCCACGGCCATAGGATCCTTGCGCACGTTTCATTGCCGCAACGTCTGCAACTGCTTGCTTGAAGGGGCGTGAGGTGAGGACACTCTTCTCTTGGTAGAGCTTGAAGCGGTGTGCCGTCTTGAAGTCGGAGGCGTCGGAGACTTGGAGGGGCTCGAAGCACTTGGCGATGAGCGCGTATGCCGCCTCGAAATATTCGAGCGAGCTCGATGTGTCGCCGTGGCGCACCTTGTGCTCCGCGTGCTTCAGGTACGCTCGCAGGTCTTCCAAGAACTCGGCTTGCTCGCGTACCCCAGCGTTGTTGAACAATGATGCCGGGATGGTTGGGTTAGAGAAAGGAAGAGGTGGGAGGTGCTCGGTGGGTGCGAAAAAAATTGCGTGTGTATGAGCCTCACCAGCCTCATTGTCGGAGTCACTGTCTTTATTGGCATTGTCTTGCGTGGCAGCGGCTAGCTCCTTCTTGGCGCGGGCGGTCTTGGAAGGACGAACGTGACGTGACGACTCCTTTTTTGCATCTTCAATTTTAGTCGAGGCAGAAATGGTAGTCGCAGCTGCTGTAACCGCGGGTGTGTTTTGCTGTAACAGCGCCAGCAGTGCCGCCACTTGCTCGTTGGTCAAAGCAGGGGCGGCAGGTGTTGGCGCGCTGGACGAGGCCGCCCTGCGGCCTCGCTTATTCTGACGCGCGGGGCCCGCCCTGCCGTTCGGCGCCTTCTGCGCGTTGCCATCAGCAGGGGACGCGTCATCCGTCGCCTACTACTCGCTGGCGCGTGGCCCACCAAGCTCAACTTGGTGGACCTCGCCACTGCGCAATAACACGTCGAGGGCAGAAGGGGCAAGGTTGCCCTCTGCCCGACGCTTGTTGCCGCGATCACCCGCCATTTCATGGGCGTTTTTCTCGGGTTCCGAAATATTCGGAGTGTTGATGGGCGGATTTTCAGCAGGATTGGCCGGGGTGCTAGGAGGGGCCATGGCTGCCTGGTTATGCGTAAGGATATCTGCGAGAAGCTGGGAAGGTGCTTCCCCGCGAGTGAGAGTTTTCAACTTCGCCAGAGTGGCGGGGCGAAAAAAGCGGGATGGGAACTCAATTGAACTTGAGCTGGGAAAAATGAAAAACGTGGGTGGAGGAAGAATGACCTCCAACCCCATTATATGGTTGGAGAGGGGCGAATAGCGCGCTTCGACGATGCCTGAGGTTGCGTTACAAGCAGCTTCGCATTCACAATACGCAATTTTGAAAGTGTGAACACTTTAAAAATTTACATGTTGCGTAGAGAGCGGGAACGATCACATTGAGAGGAAGAAGCTTGACTTCCCTCACGCACAGGGGAGCCACGTCGTCCGTTGCTCCTGAGATTCATTCTTGAAACAGGAGGACAACCACTTATAGCAGAAACCATTCCTCTAGTCATGGTAGAAAAACGTGCGGCAATCATATCCGCAAGTAGCATGCTCCTATGCCCAGGTCTAGGCATAGGAGGGGTTTAGAGTGTGCTGGTGGTAAGCAATCAGAGAAGAGAAGTGAGAATGAGACTAGGTGGCAGGTCCATCGGACCTGCGAGAATGTGAAGGAGCTTGTCTCTTTTACAGCAAAACTCCTCTTCAAAGCGAATCACAATCGCGATCAGTTTCTACTCCTGAGTGACTCCCCTACTCCCGAGTCCAATGGTATGCCCGCTGCACACTCCCCAGGGCTGTCTTCCTAACCACCCCCTCCACATCCGCTCAAACCTTGCCACGTAATCCCATCGTACCTCTACCAACGTACCTACCAATCACATCCATTGGATGGTTTCAATATCCATATTTCCCTCCAGCCAGTACTATCCAAACCCGTTCTCTAATTCCCCATATCTCCCATTCTCGACCACTAACAACCCGTGTTGTTTACACAGCTCCCTAGCACTCTCGAGTCCCAACGTGCCCCACACTCATCATGGCCCACAATCATAAATTCAACCCTTCTTCCATCTTGGTGCCCACATGCAACCAGTGGCAGATTGGACGTGATGACAATTCCGTCAGCAACCACTCTGGGCAAGGGGGCCACTCCCCCGGTGACAGTGGATGCAACGGCTACTGATACTGCTAGTGAAGTGGCAGACCAGCTGAGTGCGGGCCCCAAGAAACAGATCACGCTTCACACGCACATGAAGACCCCCATCCATATTCTACGATGTGGATTGGCATCTTTTACGGGTGGAGCCATCTTGCCCAGCGTGTCGGATGTGGTTATGGTACTCATTGAAGCCGCGCCAGATCTATGCAGGCAGCTTGTGTTGGCAGCCGTCGCAGGAGGTAAGAGGCATGCAAGTAGGAAACAAGCGGGTCGTGCATGGGTATTGCAGACTGCCTAACGAACGACCGCCCCTCAAATGTTTTGTCACCACATGAGCAGGGGAGTCGGGGGGGGGAGTTACTGGGGCATTCTACAGCGGCGTAGAGGCGCACACGAAAACTGTACGCCCCAAGGACTCAACAGGTCTGCCGACCAGTCAGGAGCTTCGGACCATCAAGCCCCAGCGCATTCCGGAACTGGTGTATGGCTTCGTGCCAGCAGCAGCGGGGGATGAGGGGGGGGAAGCTGGCCGGGGGTTCGATTGGGGCGGAGCAAGGCATGGTCCTGGCTATCAGGCACAGATACCCACAGGTATGTGGCTTGGCCATAAATGTTGACTTTCTTCCATGTGGGTTTTGGGGTGGCATTGAGCAATCGTGTCATTTTCATGTCTCACTACCCCAGGTGTGCAGCAGAGGACGAGATCCCGCCCCTCACGTGGAGTGCGAGTGCTGTCGCGTGTCACGACGGACCTTGGAGCCTTGCGGGAGATAGAGGACAGTGGGGATGAGGATGGGATTGATATGACCACCATGGATGGAGGCATTGCATCCATTGGGGCTGCTAGGGACGAGGACAGGCATGAGGAGACAACGCATGTGGAGGATGCGGCGGGCCCAGGGTTGGAGGGAAGCTTGTCTAGGCCAGGTGTGATGGAGGGGAGAGTGGATGAGGGACCAATTGAACAGAGTGGGCACGGAGTTGCAACAGGCCTTGCCTGTCTGGGCATACCGCAGCAGTCTAGGGAGTTGCCCGCACCACCAGCAGATCCCGTTCACCTGGAGTGCAATGATCGCTAGACTAGGTGAGGCATATGTTGTGTAAGTGGGAAGCATTGTACAGTAATGCATGACAAAGAATGCATCACCCGTGCGTCAATACAAGACCCACGATAAACTTACACGCCATCCTCCTTGTCATCTGGTGCAATACAGGCTATGTGACGCGGAGCCAACCTTCCATGCATTCGATTGCGGCATCCCCCGTGACTGACCAGTAGCACCAACTCTAGCATCATCGGGTGAGGGGGTGGTATGTTACATGGATGCTGCATTCTTCGTACGGCTGATGCTACTGTTCACACTGCACTGTACTGCAGACCTAGCGTGTGGGAGGGCGATGTTATTGCAAAGTGCAAAGCTTTCACTAGGTGGCCTAGGTCTCCTATGGCGCTGCAAAAAATGTCACAAAACTGAGGTTTGGTGGTCGTGTGATGGAGCAGTGGATCCTCAACAAGCTAAAAAAAAGGGACCGAAGATGCCATGGCTCACGAGAACTGTGCTAGGGGCTTACCAGATATGTGGGTGTGCGTACCAGGCGATGTGGTCCATAGCACGTAGCATTGGTATGAAGGTGCCAACAGCAAGGATGATCGGCCCTAACATTATAACTACATGAAAGGCCCGATCGGCCTATGGGCCAGCATTATTCGCCAAAGCAAACTGTCAATGGTGCGGGTTAGGGAGGAGATCATGGCACGGTTCATGGGAGAGATATGGATTTCGGTGGATGGAAGGTGGTCGCAAGCGAGAGAGGGGGAGTGGGGCACCGCCTCCTTCATTGATAGGGTCTCCAAGAAGGTGCTGCACCAGGTGACTGTCAATAAGTGGGCGTGTGGTACTTCATCAACAGCCCTGGAACGTGTGGCCTTTGATAGGTTTTCCGGTGGTTGGGGTCATCACAGATGGTGGGATCACATTCAAGAAAGTGATCACTGATTTGAAGCTGAAGCATCAAGTTGATGTTTGGCATATGGCTCGTTCGCTTATCAAGGCATTCTTCAAAGAAATTATGGATGCCCGGAAGCCTGAAGACATGACCGTTGATGTTGTAAAGACGATTGAGGACTTGTGGCACATCAAGAAGACCAAATTGCTCCAATGGCT